AAATGTTTTGGTGATAGTTTATATAACACATTACATAGAATTTTCCATTTATATCTTTTTCATTTTAGTATAATATTCATTTTGATTAACGGTAAATTGACCAAACTTTAAAATCTATAGCATTTTTCAGTTGAGATTGTTAATTGGGGTCTACCTTTGTACCAGACTACCCTAACCTCGGCGGACCTTGACCATATGACACTCCATAATTGTTAGATTCTCAAAGGAAATATACCACAAATGGAGAAGTACCTTGGCTATGGTTGGTATGAGTATGCAAAGTCAAAAAAGTTTAAGGTTAGCGATCTCTTGCTATTTCATTACCGCTCTGCTCCACATATGTTGTATGTTAGGCCGCTGAGACAACCAAGAAGGAAGAATGCTAGAAGGAATGAGCGAGGGTTTAGAGTATGTTTTTCTATGTATTTTGGATGTTTGAATGTTTAGTTTAAGGAAAAGTTATTCTATGGTTATGTCATTAGTTTTCAGATTTCAAGTTGAAGTTAATGTTTATGTTTCCCTTATTATGCAATATCAGTAAAATGAATGAAAATTTTCATTAAAATTTCTTTTATTTCAAGTGTTTAAATATTTATTTTAGATAATAAAAGTAGAATTCCCATATGTATTGGTTATCAACCTGTTTTTACTAATGCTACACCTAAGCTTGGTAAAACATTCATGATAACAATGATAAAACAATCATAAGCACTTGAAAAACTATGTTGAATCATATACAAAAGATTGTTATAATTTATGAAACACCTTAATACGAAGCTTGGGGTTGCATCATGCTTGTGGTTAAACATGATTAAGTCTCAATTCATCGAGTTTGTTTTAGATACATAATGATAGAACTTTTGGCATATAAGTAGCAGTTGAAATTCAATAGGTGCAATATCTAAGGTTGCACGATCAATTATAGACTAATTAAGCAAACAAACATTAAATGGGTGTTAAAATTCAAAAAAGTCTATTAGGTGAGGTAGATATTAACAAATAAATCAATTTGAAAGGTAAACCTTTAGTGATTGATAGTAGCAACATGAAAAAAGACATTAGTTATTGAGATGTTCTTATTATAAATTAGATTAATTTCTAACTCGGTGTTGAAAATACATGTGGTAAATAGCACCAAAAATCCATAAGTTGGATTTTGAAATAATCCATGCAAAACTGAGTATTTGTCTATGTCAAGGTGGATATCAACACATATAAAAATTGGTGTTAACATTCAGTTGTGAAGATCTATTAGGTGTTAACTTCGATTTGTTTGCTAGTTCCTTGTTGTCATATGGTAATATGTATAAAGAAACTTGTATTCATATTACAAAATGAACCAAATATATGACATCATGACAAGTTATGGCAAATCTTTCAATTCCAAAGTAAACCATGAAAGTACATAAGGGATGTTTATAACTCATTTTAAAAATAAGACTCATTATACATATGTAAAGATATCACTCAATCTACGAATTTCAAAGTAAAATATAAATGATAACCAAATGTAGTCACAACATTCAATTAACAAAAACATATGCAAAGTTATGATAGACATGTCAACGCATCACTGAATCTATCAATTTCAAGGTAAAACAGGAATGGACATATGAAAGTTTCTTATAATAAAATATTTATAGCATAGAAAATAAGTCTTAAGTTACAAAAACTTAATTTTGCAAACACATTTTAAAATACAACTAAGAACAACAATATATATATGACAACATGACAGGTTATGGAAAACCATTCAATTTCAAAGTAAGCCATGACAGTACATAAATGAATGTTAGACAAAAATCCATAGCATACGATGAGTTATATTATATAAGATAATATATATATGATAAAACAACCACTCGTCTTTAAACTTCCTCTTAATCTCATTTATGCTAACATCATTGATTATTAACTTTGTTTCATTCCATAGGTGGGAAATAATCAAAGGAAAACTTCCTATAAATTTGTACATGAACATATTATAGTTAAAATATATTAGAAATAACGAAAATCATTGTATTAATATAGTGTTTTCCGAATAGCTAACATGAATACCCTCAACTCTCTTGATTCATGCATTGTGTAATAGTACAATTGTATGATTATGTTCATTCTTATTGTTGTAATAATTACAAAGTTGTGATGCAAGCTTATTCTAAAGAGTACAATGAACCACAAACCTAATACAATAAAAGAATAAAGCAAACATGCTTATAGTTAAACAAATATTACAATGAAAAACAGATCTAATACACTAAAAGAATAGAGCATATAAATGCTTATAGTTAAATAATCCAACAAAAATTTAATCATACCATAATGTAATATTCATAAAATTATTAAATAAACAAACGATAATGTAATATTTATAAAATTATTAAATACTAACATGAATAATGTGGGAATACCTCATATCTGTTATAATAAAGACAACTTTGTTATTGTTATTTGTAGCATTCAATTGGGTATGGATAATTTCTACACTCCTCTAATCACATCTACAGAAAAATCAAATAATTAAAGAAAGTAAACAAATTTGAACTAACAACAAGTAAAAACAACAATATTAACTCAAACGATAACTAACTAAGAATTTAGGTTGAAACTTTCCCGCAAGTATATCAGGCAAGCTTATTAAGGTCAAATGGTCCATAGGAATAGCAAGCAAATCTGAAATTTTTGCAGAAGATGCACCATAAAATATCAACTAGAAGTTATGAGTGATTGCTTTGAATTAGAAATCATTTTTAACAATCTTGAAGTTTTGCATGATGTATGTTTTTCCAATAATAAGAGTATCCTTATGCTTTTTAATCAAATGTGCTGGTATAATAACTTATATCATGTTACACTGGTAAATAAAAAAATAGAATACACGACATGAGACACGAAGAAGGTTATTATTTGAAATCAGATATAATTAGTAATTGTAAGGAGAGATAAAACAGATACCTTTGTATCAATTATAACCATTTCCAAGTGCTCTTTGTTAGACATGTTTGTTACAAACCACATATCTCTAATCCTAACAACAATCTTCCATAAATCTTTTGAGTCATTGATATCCCCCTAATATCTTCAATTGGACGTGCCACTAGCTGCAACGATAACACCACTTTCACAATATTTCTAACTTAATTCAAAATGAATAACAATATGGACAAAGAAATGATTAAAAACGAACAACAATCAGGTCAAAGAAATAACACGTGAAAGTAATTGCAAATAGCATAACGTCAATTCACATGCGTGATACAAAACATACTATGATGAAGAATGCAGAACAACGAGTTGATATAAAAGGAAAAACGAAAGCTTAATACTTAATATGCTTCAACTTCGTGCAAATGATGCAGCGTGACCTTCAGTCTTCCACTCCTTCACGTTTATAATAATGACGCTGATAAAAAGTAATTCATGATTTTAGGAGAGAGTGTTTAAATATTGACTGTTAGTGTATTTTCGTTTTATCATTGGTTCTGACAGTTGACTTCTCAATCAATGTATAAAGTATAGTGAAAAAATTATTTGAAATGGAAAATAAATCGTGAGCTTTTGAAATATGCACAAAATTTTGTATAGTTAATAATTATCAATAATAAAAATAAAGGATAAATAGTGGTAATTTAGTGTTAAAGAAATACTAATTAAGGATAATATAATTAGTCAAAATTAACCTTCAAAATCAATTAATTTATACTTAAATAAAAAATAGTGATTATGGAAAATCCAGAGCCTAACATTTTATTAGATAAATATTAGATTATTATGTTAATGATGTCAAAAATATAGTTAAAAAAAAAAGCCAAAAGAAAATAAAGCAAATTGCTACCTATCATATTTTTAAAAAACCCAGTAATTCAAAATATCTAGTACCCAAATTGAAGGTGTTATCGAATTTCTTAAATATCTAATAAATCTAAATACCGAAGTTTTAAAATTTTTAGTAAAAAATATTCAAACAATTGATTTATATTGGTTTTTTCTTAAAATCTGATAAAAACACATAATTTTTTATATGGACATTTTAATAAATTTGGTAAAATTTCATGAATTATTCCAAAAAATTGGATAACAGAACAAAAATTCGATAAAATTTTTGAAAAAATAGGCAAAAAAAAACAAGAATTTTTGTAAAAATCTGGTATATTGAACCAAATATCTGAACAAACATATTTTTTTTTAAATTAAAAAAACTTGACTTTATTAATAAGAATAAAAATATATATAATATTTTTACACTCTCAATCAATTAAGTGCATGTATTCCGTCAAATCACATTTTTAATTTTAGGGTTAATGAATTTGTTGGTTCTTCTAAATATCTCAAACTTTGTTTATAGTCCCTCTAAAATTTTTCTTCAAGCATGATCCTCTTAAAAATTTTAAATTTAACTTTTGGTTCCTCATGAAAAAATTGTAGTTAAAATGATTTCTAATTTCGTTGCTAAATTAAAAATCATCGCTAAAACTGTCGTTAAATTGTAAAAACCGTTACTAAATTACAGGAGAGATCAAAAGTTAAATTTTAAATTTTTAGAAGGATCATTATTTAAATTTTTTTTTTAAAAAGACTGAAAACAAAATTTAAGATATTTAAAGAAACCACAAAATTCATTAATCCTTAATTTTAAAACACTTACATGACATTTACACTAACATCTCTTTATTAACTTAGAAATATTTTGATAAAATTGTAGGCAATGTTGGGGGTGCTAAGTATAATAATCAATGTGCCAGGTAAAACCGGAGATTAGAGTCCAGTTCTAAAATTAGTTTATACTCGGCCCAAGTTAACATAACAGTTTTTACTTTTCAGTCCTTCGCCATCTCTCATCTCTCTCATCTGAGTCCGAAGCAAGCTACCGGAGAGGAACAGAGAGAGAGATCGATCGATCGATCGCAATTCATCACATCACACCAAAACGAAGAAATTAGAACAGAAAAAACCCGTCGATCGTTTCCGTAGCTGAAACGAATCGAACCGAACGAGCAAAGATGTTACCAACCGCAACCAAAGGACGCTCTTCTTCCTCCTTATCTTCATCCTCTTCCAGACCTAATTCCACTCTTCTTCCTTACCTCCGTAGAATTATCAAGGTACCGATCTTTTCATTTCCGCATCTTTTTCGTTGATTTCGCTAAGATCCAATGCCGTTGAACTCTGGGGCAATGCAATGGCATCCATTATCCGTATAGTGTAAGATTATAAACCTTAGGATTTGATTAATCCCTAATAGTTGCTTGGAATGTTTGAAACTCGGAAGTGATAGTGAGTTAATCAAGTTTTTAGATCAGGCGAAATTCATGATTAGTTGATTTTTTTTTTTTTTTTGCTGTTTCGGTTGAGACTTTGATATTTTGGATTATATTGCTTTGATTGGTATGTATGTGTGTTTGTGGTCGATGGTGTGTTTTGGATGGTGCTGAAAATGAAAGATGTAAAGAGAAGTGAAAAACATAATGTAGAGGTGAAGAGGTAAAGATATAAAGAGAAGAGAGAACTTGGAAACAGAAAGTGGGAGTTACATGGAAAATAAAGAAAAAACATAATGTAGAGGTGAGAAATATAATAGCAGCCTAAGGCTATGTTTGGATATCATAAAATGAACGTAGCAGAATGGAACGAAGCGGAGTGAAATGTAGCAGAATAGAACGGAGCGGAGTGAAGTGTAGCGGAATGGGGTGGAGCAGAGTGAAATGTAGCGTAATGGAGTGGAGCGGAATGAAGATTCCATTCCATCTTTTGTAAATTTTAGGATGGAACAAGGCCAATTTTTCCTTTCGCCCAAATAGAAGGGGAAGAAATATGGTGGTAAGTGATGGAAGGGAATGAAATTCATAGCACTCCATTCCATTCCACTCCACTCCATCCGATTTTAAATGACCAAACAATGGAATATCACTCCATTCCATGCCATGCTGCTCCTATCCATCCGATTCCATCAGTCCAAGTAAAGCCTAAGGAAAGTCATTGCTAGCTAGTATGAATTTTTATGTTAAGATTTCCGACATAATTTTTCGCCCATGAATTTGGTATGGAGGATGCTGATCTAGTGCTGATACTGCTACTACATATGTTGTCATAGATAGATACCCTAGAGTGTTGACTTGGAAATTTAGTTTTTATTACCATTTATTTACTGTTTTTTGAGTCAGGTGATTGCTTCATTTACACTTTTTTTTGTCCTGTGTATTTTTATTATTCATTGTAGTGGCAACAAATGGATGTTGAATACACTTTTTGGCAAATGCTTCATCTATGTACGTCACCAAAAGTTGTGTAAGTATATTAAAATCATCTTCTGTTCTGTCCTCCTTTTAACAAAATAAAATCACATTGTTACCATGATTTGATGCAACAACAATATGAGGCCTATTTTATTTGATAAACTGTACTGGCAAACACATGGTCATAAACTGATAGTTCATGGTTGACTTTTTACTCATCCTGTTGGTTGTGTACGTGTTTGGTATTTTGAATGTTTGCTTCTCTGATTGTGTTTTTGATACATTTGATATGGACCTTTACGATGGATGCAGCTATCAGCATACAAAATATCACAAACGTAAGTCCACTTCCCATGTATAACTGTATTGTTTTGATTTATTATTACATGTTTGAAGAGCGTTTGTTCCAAGTGGTGTTTGTTGAGGAGGTTTTGTTTTACTAAGTCATGTTACTTATGTAGTCTTTATCCGCAATTAATTATTCACAGTGCACTAGGCTAGTTACATTTATGCCTACATGTTAGCATCAAGGTGATAAAAACTGGATTGGATAGTGAACCAGTGTGCTCAAAGATACAAGGTTCAAAGGTAGGGCTGGGATTGGACCGGTAGTTGCTAAATACATTTTTTTTAAAATTTAATATGATGTATATAGCAATAATAAACTAAAAGTTACTTAATGTTTATTGTTCCACCCCATAATAATAATCCACATAAATATCACAATACAACATATATAAAATAAAATATTACTCATCAAACTTACATAAGAAAAAAATTAAACATAAACAAATTATTTACAGCCCTTCCTCCATACTTCCTCCTTATAGGATCTTCTCATTGCACTTGATATTGGGAAAAGAAACTGTATTATTTAAGTAAGCTAAAAGCATGAACTACCAGAGACGTAAGTTAGTTAAAATGATAAAACCATTGTGCCTTCTTCCTAGTGTCATTACTAACTTCTACCTACAACATGACCCATTCGAGAGAAGATTGGATGTTATTGTGTGAGAAACAAAAGACATTTGTTTAATTTATGGTGTTGGATGGTATTGGTTCATCCTCTGTAGTTGAAGCTTGTAAATTTTTGAGTTAGTCTTGTGTTGAGATCATAGATAAACGTGGTCATTATAATGAAAAATGAAAGAGTTTAATGCCTGATGAAACATTTCTTTGCTGTGGGACAAAAGTGAATGTTTATATGCATGTTTAATAAGTTAGAGGAATAGAAATGATTGCTTTTAAAACTTCTCAATCACCATAAAGTACGCCCTTATTATTTTAGTCCTACATCAGTAACTATTGAGAAAAGTAGCGGAGGCTTTGGCTATAAAGTAGAAGTATATTTTAATTTTAGAAACAAGTAAAAGCAGAAATACAGTCCAACCCCTGGACCTGCCTAAACCGTCTGCTATGCCCTGTTTTGACCGGTTCATTCCCCGGTTTGGAAGCAGAGACTGCATAGTGGATTTCAAGTAGTTTTGGACTGGATGAAGGTCTGGTTCTTGGTCCAACCGGTTGAACCATCCACTCCGGTTTTTATTACCTTGTTTAGTATACGAAATAAAAGGGAGCTATAAGAATAGTTAGAGTAGTTAGTTAGTGAGAGAAATATCTCTTACATAAATAAGAGGAAACATGGATAGAGGGGGAAAATGATGGAATGCTTTTTAATGATACAATTCACTTTTCTTTGAAGAAAAAATCCATTTAAATTTTGCGCTTAATGCTTTCTATAATGAGCTCTAAGGAGCTTTGGCTTTTTAGACTTGTACATGAGCTTAGTTTGGCGATATGTAACAACACATTGTTTCAAGAAGAAGAAAAAAACTGCAAGTTTTATCATTATATTACATGATTGATACATTTGATAGCTTCAACATATTTTTAATTGATTTTCTATTTGATATTAGAAACCAAGAATCAATGGGCACGCGATGACCCTGCATTTGTTGTGATCTGCAGCCTTCTTCTGGCTGTTGCAACTTTGGCTTATTGTGCAGCGTAAGTTTCTCATGCACTGTGGCTCCTCATGATTAGATGACTAGCTAAAAATACTTGACATTTGTAGTGCAACAAAAAATATAACTAATCACTAATGTGATTCTTTGTATTTCATCTATTTGGCAGTAAGGTTGTTGTTTTGATTTTGAAAATTTCCCTTATAAAAACAGGCTTATATTTTAAACTCTGGAATGTGTGAATTTTATTAAATTGCGAATCATTAACTGTGAGTTTAGTGTAAATTGAATGATTATTTACATTCTGTTTAGATTGTTAATTTTTTGATGCCCTATTAGTTCATTAAGTACCTCTAGGCATCTGCTAACTTTTTTACATTGCTGTATTTTCTCGATCATTTTCAGGTATGACCATAGTTCTGGCCATGCACTTTTTGTTGTCTTCTCAGTGTTGGTTTTCCATTTTCTATTGACCGGCATATTTCTGGCAACTTTTTGTTGGTAAGGCTACTATCTACAAATTACTCACCCTTTTCTTCAAGTCATTAGATTTTGATACCAAAGCTGATGTATATTTTTTATCTATGTATTCTTCAGGTTTCTAACTAATTCTTATCTTCGAGAAGAGGCTCCAAACAGTTATGTGGTTGAACAGCGTGTTGAATGGTAAGATCAAGAATGTTCTTGCCAGTTTTCATTATGCTGACTCAGTCTAGTTGTTTGCATGTTCAATTTTCAGAGCACACACTACTATTTGCAAAATATTATTTAGGCAAGGCTTCTTTTAAATGTTTGATTCTGTTAATAAGCACGGATATTACTTGATCACCATTTTCTTAAAATTTTGATGATTAATTTCCAAACTGATAATATTTTTGGTTTTCCATGGTAGGATGTATGCATTTGATGTTCACTGCAACTCTTTCTTCCCTATGTTTGTCTTACTATATGGTAATTTCTGACTCCTCAGTTAGTATGAATTGTTATGATGCTGGCAGCTTAAGTATCTTGAATTAAAATGGCACTGATATCTGGTCTTTTGTCAGTGATCCATTATTTTCTATCTCCTCTATTGGTGGCTCATGGCTTCATTCCAGAACTGCTATCAAATCTATTATTCATGGTGGGAGCTTCATACTACCATTATCTAAATTTCTTAGGTTATGACGGTAAGACTCTCACTGACTCTCATTGCATTTGGATCATAGAATATCTTCTTATCATTGTTTCCTTGAATGTGTCTGCTGTCTCCTAAACAATGTTTATGACTGTAAAGGATGGGTTTCTTTGCTTTGATCTTGGTAAATCTGTTTATTTGCTGCGAATCGGTTTTAATTGTTGCCAATTAAACTGTTGAAGCATGAGTGATTTTGACTGAGTTGGTATGAATTGTTGAATAACATTAAATTAATTAATTGACATCTCATGCTGTAGTTCTGCCCTTTTTGGAGAGGACCACCTTTTTTCTGTATCCAATTGGTGTAGTAATTGTTCTTTCTCCCATATGTAAGTATTTAATTACTGTGCGTTCCTTTTCTGTTTTACACAATGTGTTAATATTGCATCTAAAGTCTAAACACAATTTCTTGTTTCCAGTGATATTGAGTGGCTTCAATCCTTCTAGATACTTTATGAACATATACTTCAGCCGGCAGATATGATCATTCCAGTTAAAACTTTTGACCAGTCTTGTGTCATGTTGAGGTTATAAGTAATGGAGACTACAAAATGAGAAAGCTTTAATGAATGTTTGATTGTTTGTTCGACGAGTGCAATACCCCGGCAATGCATCATTTTAGGCATTCTATTACTATAAATCGAAGTTGAACTGTAGTAAGACAGCAGGGTAGTCAGTGTATCTTTTACAGTTATTAAATAGAATTTGTTCAGGTGAATACAGGCATTGTAATCAATTTTCATTGTCAATTCAGCATTTTTCCTTCAACCAAAGAAAATTTTATGTTGAATATATTCATTATATCATGAGGCTAGATACTTGTTGTGGGAATGAAAAGAGTTAACTCTACATTTGTCTCTGTCACCACATCACACATGGATTCCTTGTTAATTTCTCCATCCGGAAGGGGAAATAAAATAAGAGAAGAAAATGAGTACAGCAAAAAAAAAGAAAGATAGATTTGGGTGGATAAAAAATGGATGGAAAGAAAAGTTAGACAAAATACAATGATAATTAATTTAATTTTATTCATCTTGTTGATAAAATACTGAGTGGACTACTAGATGACTAAATAGATGGAATTGAAATTACTAAATTTAAAGTCATCATTGGTCACTCATGTAGAGTCATCATCGTTGCAAGAAGAACAAACAATGTTGTGGATATTGGATTGTTTTCAACGTGAGGGCATTAAACATTAAAATATAAAATTTCTCCATTTCCTTGACTTTTCAAAAACCTCCAAATTCAATTTTACATCCATTGTATAATTTGGATGATAAAAAACATGTTACAAATTTGAATTATGAATTTGATGCTTTTAAATTGGCAAATCCGGATGTATTGGAAACAGGAAGAAAAAGATATAGAAAATAACATATTGATAAAAATGTCTTCGCGATTAAACAAAATAAATGTACAAATCTAAACTAAATGTAGTAGTTCAGTAATCTTATATATTTTCATTAAACCTTGCTGAGGTATGTAGCATCATCCTCCATATCAATATGAAGTATTAAACCTTGCTGAGGTACGCTGAGGTATGCAACATCATCCTCCATATCATTATGAACTTTTTGTATCACATCATTGTTAGAAAATTAATTGTAAACCAAATGGATTGAGGTTGAAATTGTGAACAAATCACTTTTCTTATATTATCTCAAATATTTTTAAATTGTTTTAGGGTTTGTACGCAGTAATAAACAAGATAATTCATATATATTTGAGTTTACATAAGATTGATGAAAACTCGAATGTAAGGAAGATAAAATCTGGAATTTTGTGTGAAGAGGATAAACTTTTCTAACGTTATTTTTTTAAATTTGAAATGCACAATTTATAGACCAAAGTAGTATTGTTTCACAAGATTGTGACTCTTGATGAAGCACACACTTTCAACAACATTTTTACTATATGTTACACTGTTTCGCGTACAACAAGAGATTTACCAAATGTTGCACTGCTTCATCTACAACAACATTTTTACCAAATGTTGTATTGTTTCACATACAACAACAGTTTCAAACGTTGTACTGTTTCACATTCTGCAACACTTAATGAAGTGTTGCCTATTTTCGAATTCAAAATACAAACTGCCTACTGCAACATTTCACGAAACGCCTATTTTCAAATTTAAAATACAAACATCCTACTGCAACACTTCACAAGTGTTACTTATTTCTGAATTCAAAATTAACCTTCATTTGTATATTTTCTTGTCATTTCAGAACACTCAAGATTATTAATTGTTAATAATTTACAACAATCTCGCACTTGTTCTAATAATAATAAGATCCATTCCGGAAAAAGGGAAACAAAGAATATTAATACAGTTGAGTATCTTTTGAATTGAACTTAACCTTAATAAGAACAACGCAAAGTCCAATCGAAATTTTAGGAAAAAATGCTTTGAACTGTTATCCCTTGTGATTAAACTAGCGTTATCTTACTGATAACGCGTAAATGTGTGGTGTATTTTGACTTGATTCACATGTATTATTAATGTCATTTTCATTTGTTTTAGGAGTGTTATGCTGGTATTTTCTGTGTATTTCAAGTATTCAACCCCTATGACTTTTCGTGCGAGAAATCAGTGTGAAACGACAAAAACGGGAAGAAAATCAGACAAAAGTATTGTTGTGACGGACTGTCTCTCCAGGTGGTCAAACCGTCATGCAGAAAGTCAACAAAATGAAGAAAACAAGTTCTAACATGGTGGCGGGACGACCGTCGGGGACCTGACGTCCGTCAGCCACTCTTCCCTGTGTGACGGACAGACTGCCAGTCAGGTGACATCCATCATACTGGGATGGTCCAGATTTTTTTGCCCAATCTTTCGTCCTCCTTATTTTTCTCTCACTTTGAGTGAAAATCTCCACTAAATTCTATACGAACTCAAGACAGTTTTTACTAATTTTGACTCTATAAATATGACATGGTTTATTTAATTTAAGTATCCAAGCTTTTATAATTTAAATTTAAGCATAAAATACTCTTTGTAAGTTTATTGCTCACATCAAGCAATAAATGCAATTTTAGTATTAATTTTAGAGCAGAGAATAATTGATTATTTTTGTAGTTATTCTAATCTTATCAAATTGGTGTTTGTTTCTGCATTTTCTTGAAGTTTTTCTATACCAGATTGAAGACATCATTGGAGCAGATTATATATATATATAATACGGTAAGTTTGTGGTTTCAATTATGTTTGGCTAGATCTTTAGAGTTTGAAATGTGAGGATTGTCGTTTTGATGAGACTCAGTAAAATTTTATCGGCATTAATTTTTAATACTAATTTAATTTTTTGATTGTGGATTTTTAGTTTTCAAAGTTAAAAAGTTTTACGCGAAAGTGAAAACACTAAGATACCGGTCAATTGCGCGACAGTGTGAGACCAGTGTCCGATCATTAAAAAAAAGATTTTTAATTTCTAAAAACAATGATAGCGCTTTAGTAATTCTTAAGGACTTATCAATTTTCAAAACTTGTTTCGAAATTGTATTTTGTGGAGCGACAACATGATATTTACGGTTTCGAAACATGACACGGGCTGCACAAAAGTGAATATTTCCTCCGAAAATCATTTTAAATCAAATGAAGTGCCAAAATTTATCTGAGTTCCAGAGGTACACTGAAAATTACATTTCAGCCTCTACTTATTTGAATATTTTCTAAACAAATTTGTTTTAATTTCTATTTTAAATTCCCCTCATATTAAAACACACAACCTTAGATTTACATAGCACCATTAGAGAGTAGTAGATTGATTATTGGTTTATGTGAGTTCCATATTTATTACTACGATATATTCGTGCCTTTGCAGAACACACATTTTAGCGCCGTTGCCGGGACCAATTTAGTCAATACCGTAACTTCGTTGTTGCACCGTAGAGACTAAGGCAAACATTTTTCCTTCTCCATCGTTGATTGTATGTCAAATACTCACACCTCAGGGGACGATCTAGCACAACTAATCAATGAAATCAAGTGTTTTATTCACATCAAACGCCGAATTAGACAACTTCGCTTAGAATTTAATATCCCAGAAATGGATGCAAATAATAACGTCCTCTTAAGGACTAAGCTGTCCCATCACAGGACGAGCCACACACAAGCATTGTTCCTCCTATCCTCGAGGTAAAAAACTTCGAGTTAAAACCTTCTCTGTTGCAAATCGTGCAATAGAATCAGTTCTCTAGTAACCCAACAGAGGATCCCAACTTGCATCTCTTCGTGTTTGTGCAATATACAAACACGTTAAAAACTAATGGCGTAAATCTAAAATCCATCTGATTAAGTCTTTTGCCTTTCTTCTTAAGAGACAGAGCCAAAGCCAGGCCCATCAACCCTGCCACTTTCCTGTTTGCTAGCTTAGATAAAATTACTCAACCAACAAATGAACCCATTCTAGTAGGTGGGATTGTCACAATGATTATTGTAGCCTTAGGCCTTAGAAATCCACTGGCTCATTTAGTTCCTTTGGGAGGTATCAAACAGATAAACGTTGAACACTGCTTGAATCGCCAATTGGTGAGACATGGGAGGCCTAATGAATACGAGTTACTGATAAATAATAAAGTTGTCCACCACTTTACCCTTCCTAATCATGAAAGGACAAATGTCCATAACTGTGACATCTGGCTGTACGAATTGGAGGGTCAGAATGACTCAAGCACACCACCTCAAACCCCTCCAGCCCCTGAATACCACCCGATACCTCTGTCTGATGTTTCATCTTCTTCTTCTAAAAATATTTCTGCTACTCAAGGGCATGATGTTGGCTATGAGCTCAACGCCCTACGACGTGAATTCACAACTTTCTGCGAAGTTTTACAAGATCAATATGATAAAATGGTGGAGTAGATGGATCATATGTATCAAGAAGTTTATTGTATTAGAAGAATCCTAGGTTCTGACGCCCAACACAAGGGTCATTTATCTTATTAATGAACTTCTTCCCTCTATTGAGTTCTCTACTAAACGTTGCGGACAATGTTTCACTACAGTGTAAGGGAGGAAACATTATTTGCCATTTTTCTAATTCAGATTTCACTGCTTTCTAATTTAAGACTTAGATTTCTTTCAAAAATTCTAATCTCCAATTTATCGATCTTTGTTAAGTTGAGCTACCGACATTAAACAAAGCGCTGCGTAGGAGGTAACCCACAAATTCTCCTTCAATAAAATCTTTTGTTTAATTTAGTGTTTTAAATTTTTTGGTATAATATTAAATTGTGAGGTTAATTGTTAAGAGCCAAAAGAGAAAAGAAAATGAGAAAAATACAAAGAAAACCGAAAAATTCATACTTTGGAAGCATGACGCACATACCGTCGTTGACCTGATGTCCGTCAACCACTTCGCTCTGTGTAACACCCCTTAAACCTCACACATAATATATGGCATAAATAAGAGTAAATATCATGCGTATTTCAAGAGGGCGTTACATGCATTTAGAAATCATAACAAATACACTGGTCAT